GGCACGAACTCTTCTTTCTCCTGTTCTAGAAAAAGGTAGATCTATACGACAAAAGGGGAAAACATTTATTTAAAGAATATAGATACTTTGCTAAAATAGCACCATCAATTACGTTGTAGGAAAACGAGATAACTTTTACATAAAATATGAAGATTGTTTATCTCTCATTGATACCTCTCCCGACGCAGAGAAAAAGTGATTCGGTGACGAGATAATAACCTATATTTTAAGTTATCTCTTGGCAAAAAATGAAAAAGTCAGGCATTTCGCTGTTAATGTTGCTCGCAATTATATTATTCACGACAATCCACTTACTTACACTAGAGTTTTGTATGACGTGTACATTGATTATGTCTACTCAAGTAAATGGAAATCATTGGTGATAGTTATCAATAAGATAACCAAGGTAGCAGAATATTACGGCTACAGCAACGTCTAAACTTTTGAAACGAAGTTCATTTATGAATATAATGAATGTGCTGAAGCGAATGATTGAGCTTTGTTGAGGAAATGATATTGCAAGTGCAAGTTGTGCATACATTGCATAGTTTTATTTTTAACCTATCTTAAAAAATGTATATAAATATTGTTAAGATCCTCTTTAAATTTATTATATTATATACATAAATTTTTTTATTTTAGTACATAAAAAGTGGAGAAACTACAAAGCGTAGAAAGGATATTAATACTATTGAAACTTGCACTAAGTGGGCAAAAGAATATATACCTAAGTTCGGTGTTGGAATAGTATGCTTACGCAAGTAGATCTTCCCTAATAGTTGATGGTTGAGATGACGGCTACGAATTCTAAACGAAGGATTAAGAGCTTGGATTACAATCCCAAAATTTTCACACCAATTGCTTCTGTAATCGAGTAGCTTTGGGAATTTGCACAAACGAATCGCTTCTCTTTTTTTGTAGCCTTCACTGCCACGCACAATGCATTTTTAGAGCGCTCGTCTCTTTGGCATTCTGCACTTGCATATATTTTTATATATATATTTCCTTTATTTTATTTAGGTATCTTTATTTTTTTTATATATGTTTACGTTTTTTTTAATATTAAAAAATAAAAAATGTCGTTAGTATCAAACATTTGGACTTGTACTATACGACAAAAAAGTTAAGAAGGTGTAAATACGTTTGCATTTCTACAATCCAACTGGTACAAAAAGCTTGATCTGCAAATTTCTAACTCGATGAAGTGGCGTCGAGAAGAAATGCCCTTGCAGGTCAGACATCAAGCGGCATTTTTCCATGGGAGTTTTTAGACGTGTACATAAAGGCATTGAAAACTGCATATGGAACAAAAACATTTAAATCAAATAGAATAACAGTGCATACGAAGCATACATAACAGTTTCGAACAGAAGAACACATATCAACGCAGCGGCGCAGTTGGTTTAGGCCTACGGTTGAAGCGTTAACTTAGTTGTAGCGCTTGGTTCAATACCGCACCGGATCATGATCGAGTTAATTTTGTTGATATGACATTTTGGGCAAAGCCAAACAAACATTGATAAAAATATAGAAATTGGAAATAATTATAATAATATTTTTCTTTCAATAACATTAACAGGATATGCATGTATAATAAAAATCGGGAAGAATAATTGTAATATAAATTTTTTGGCAATAAATATGCAAATATATAGAAAAATAATAGTATTTAGAATAGAAAAGGCAAATTTATTCATAAAAAATGTTTAAATCAAAATTTCAAAGGTAAAAACGGGCGAGCAGAGAAAGATGAAAATTAAAAATTCTACATGCAATTGCATTATGTATTTACAATGTTTTTGCCTATCCTATATATTTGTAATGTTTTTGTAAGATCGAACGTTTCATTAGCAACGTTAATGCAACATTTTCCATTTAGTGCCAAAAATACAATACAATAATATATGCAACATATTATAAAATATATTAAATACTGTAATATATTATCATATTATTAAGGCATTAATGTTTTTGCTTATGTATGTAGAGGGGCCGTGGGACTTTCTAATAGGTTTCAGAACTTTTCACGATATATCGAAAAGGGTGTTCCGCAATGTTTCTGAAAATTGTTATAGCACGATTTGAACATTAGGTTCTTTCAGTGTTTGTGCTGTAATTATGCGTGAGATTCAGTAGCAATAACTTAGCTTTTTTGGTTTTGTGAATGTAAATATAGGCTTAAGTTGTTTTATATGTGCACGCACGCTTATATGGTTTAATTTTCATATTTACTTTACTTGTTTGCTTTTTATTTCATAATAAATCCTAACAAGGCATGTCCTAGCAAAGACATTTTCGACGAAGATACAACCCTTAAAAAATATAGGGTATTTTTTGCAAACCGATCTATGTATCTATGTATCTATAAACCTTTCTTTCTAGTTACACCTTATCGTAAAAACCTTACATCCGAGAAATCAAAAGGAAAATTATCTTCGCGCCATCTCATATCCTTTAATGACTCCTCCTATTATTACCACGTATTATATAACATTCAAGTCATAGGACATGTGCATGCATAATTAAGGAGAAGAGTGTCCTAAAATGAATATCATATATCTACATATCTGCACACGATACGAAGCAATACAGATATACAGATATAACTGACATTACCAGGATTAGTAGTATTAAGACAAGTTCCAACATTCCGCGCGAAACGCTTAAGCAATAATTGTCTTTTTTTTAAATAAACATTATACGTGATTTGTTGGGTCTGTATGCGTACATTCGTATATCACAAGCTTATGAAAAACTCGAAATTTTTGCACTTTAATAGTACGATAATGTAGGCAAGCGCTAAGTGGAGGCGAAAACTGAACATTGGCTTGCATCAGGGCATGCGTGTGCTTGCAACAACATTTCGCGATTGTTGTTTTGTAGGACAGCTGAGGTAAAAATTTTTAATTTTTAAATTTGTGCTGATAGCAGGTAAATCTACCAAGTTCTTTAAGTTTTTTTCGAAATAAATTTGACAAGAAAACAAGTAAGGAAATTACATTCAAGCTGTGGACGTCTTTTTGCACCGGAGCCTTTTTCTTAAAAAAGACACATGAAAAATTGAAATAATCGATAACACCCTTTGGTCGTGTCCTTTCATTTATTTTGCCCATTTTCAATATCAACCCGCGTACAAGAACCGATAGTATCGTTGCCAAATTCGAAACCGAAAACCTAATTTTTGTGGCCAAGAGAACGTCTACCGCAGATATTACACAGATGGACAAGCGGATATGCTCAAATCGACTTAAAATTTGATACTGATGAAGAATGTATACATTTTGCAGCCTCTATGAACCTTTCTTTCGGACGTTGCACGCGTTTTGACAAAATGATTGTATTCCGTCCTTCAATGATGCGTAAAATAAAGTTCGTAAATCGTGGAGTTATTGGCATGGCATCAGCTAACGATGGTGCAATCATTTCAATAGAAATCTGAACAAAGCACATCCTTTTTTCGCCATTGTGGCAAAATAACGAAATAAATCTCCATTTAGAACTGAAATTGTCAGTTATATTTCTGTAAATGTTCAATATGCTGATTGTGATTTTTATTTTTCTGTATTATATAGAAATATCCATCACTTTTAACTACAATTTCTACTATTATTAGTTTGTTATGCGTCGTAATTTATGGTCATTGGGTTTTGCATAATACTTTGCGAAACAAGAGCTTTTACTTCGTTTCGTTTGCATTCATCGTGCACTACATGTAAATTTAAGTTTTCCTACAGCAATTTATATTTTTTTGCTTATTTGATCTAATGATCATTTTGGTACATAGACATAAGTCCTATTCTCCTCATGTGTTTTCATTCGTTTGCGCCTTCCATGAATGGAACTGGCATAATTTCGACTGGAATATTTCTTGACCTGCTAAGTAGTCTCCGCGTGAGCTACAGACTTGTAATGCTCCCACTCTTAATAACATTTTCAGAGAATTTAGATTTGTTTTTAAGGTTAGTGTTAGTGTGTCTAAGGCGCAGTCTTGCTAACCTGATGATCTGCATGTATTGTGGTGAGCGGTTTGATAATGAAGATGATATCATCACATTTGTCACGCCGGGACTTAATTGGTCTATGGGTGGTGGGTATAAAAAGAGGGGAATGTACCGTTAAATTTGATATCCTAGAATGTGTTTCGGGTCGCTCTTAAACAGACCGATCGAAAAATAAACGGATTGATGGTATTTTGCATTTTTAGCTTTATAAGGTCTAAGTGAGGAAGCAATGCAAAAAAAAAGTGCTTGAAAACAAACTCCTAACAACAACTCCTAACAACAAATGCAAACGCTGACATATATTTCCGTGTCGGAATCGTTGGAAAAATTCCGCTTTCCTGTTTTACCTACGTGTAATTTTTTCTGTTTTCCCTATTTAGTTATCTTTAATATTAAAATCCAAAGAATATATACAGAAACCTATTTAGTTCGTATTATGCTGTCGGTAAAAAACTACACATAACAATTACTTAACCTAACACCATCGCTGTAAAGAAAAGATCAATGGAGTAAGATATCCCATTGACTACTGCCAATTACTTCCAATACATTTACATTTACATACATTTTCACATACAAATACTAATAAACATTGTCGTCCAATAAAGAAACCAACCCCTTATATTACCCAATTGTGAGTGTGCAATAAATAGCTCGCAGCTACCCTCAATGGTTCTCTTTTGAACAAATTAACAGAATTTTTTGTGAATGTGTTTGTGGGCGCATGTTAGTTTATGATGCTTGTATATGTGTGTACATTTGCATAGATGTATTTCATACTCGCAGAAGGCACATTTTATAGAAAATAAATATGTAAATCTTCTTCTTCTGTAAGTATACATTTATCTCACTCTGTTCAAACACAAAAAATTAAGATCGTTTATAATTAATAGAAAGAGAGAAGAGTATTTTCAAATATAAACGAATAGTGAATAAGTTCTACTTCGTCTACTTTTACGTTTTGCTCTCTGCTTTCTGATGATATTAAATTCAGTTGATTTTTATATGTACTTGTAATCGGTTAGTGCTTGCGTTATTTCAAAGATATTTTCACCATTGAAAAACATCCCATACGGAATATACAATAATTTGAATCAGTTTTTATCATATAATGTCATCGCGATCGGCATCGCCCAAAGTGTTTCTTGATATCAGTGATAAATCTTTACCAAATATAATGCAGCATAATGTCGATAGACTAACTCAACCAGATACGCAATCATGCCTGCATTCCGCTCATAACACCAATCCACAGGAGACTTACGACGTCTCCATGCATAATTCGTATGGGTCCCAATTCCAACTCTTACGCCAACATCCTCAAGAACCAACACACCTTCACATAACGCGACAGCAAATGTTGCCTGATGCTATTTACATTTCCTATGATGTGATGGCCGAAAAAAACGATGCAGATTATCATATGCCAAATGAACTTAGCACTGGCACAACTAGCAGTAACAGCATTACTTCAATAGCAAACACGCAAGATATTTCCTCTCGCGTTGTGATAGCCGGTAACGTTTTACCGGAGGAGCTTAATAATGACTGTAATTATCAATCTCATCTTTGTCACGTCAATGGAAATGTAAAACGTGGACGAGATTTAGATTATGGAGGCCACCAATTTTTGCAGGAAAATAAAAAGTCGCCGGCACCATTGCAACACACGAACTGTCAAGCGCAGTATAGTCGAGACCACAAGTTTTTTACAGAACTTATACCAACCACTGTAATTGAAATAAAGCCGTCTAAAGCAGGCATTCTCACTAATAACACAAACGGATCACAGTTCAATATTGCAAGTGACGAGATCAATGACAACAATCAAGACATGAAATACAATTTTCAGCAAATGCAACACCAAGCCCCCAACAGCAGTCTAAACAATAACCGGCCATCCAACGGCAGCGGCAGCGGTTCAACACATTCCCAGAAAGAAATCACTATATCTGCATTTGATCAGTTTGAAACAACCAACTCGCTAAACGACAGCAATTATTCCAGTTCGGATCGTGATGACTCAGAATATGGTCGCCAGTCAAGAACCTGTGGTGGCAACCATGTTGATGAAACAGGCATTGGCGATAGCTACGAAAAAAATTATACCTTAAAAGCATTTCGTAAGCCGAGAAAGCGTGCAAAACGAAAAACTTATAAAATTGAAGACGCTGAGGATTTTCAAACACAGCGTTTGATGGCAAATGTTCGAGAACGTCAACGAACTCAAAGCTTGAATGATGCATTCAAGGCTTTGCAAGAAATCATTCCCACTCGGCCGGAGGATAAGCTGAGTAAAATACAAACTCTAAAATTGGCAAAAAAGTACGTCTGAAATTTTACATACGCTTAGTTGTCTCAATGAGTTAAGTTTTGCAAATATTTAGGCAAAATACTTTTCCGCAATAATTAATACATACATCTTCAATGCAATCTTCTGTTTTAAAAGTCAATAAAACTAGCAAAGCATTATAAAATCAATCTATTCAAGCGCTCTATAAAATACAGAAGGCAATATTACGGACGGGAAGTGCTATCGCCAATATTTATAAATTTTCTTTGGCCGAAATGGCGTAGCGTGAAGAAAACAGAGATAAACATCTGCTTTGGGTATGGAACAAATTAAGCACATCAGCTAAATTTCTTTTGTTTCTAATGAATAACTTTCTGTCTTTGTTAATTAGGTCGCTATATGCAATGCAAATTATTTTAAACATAAAAAAATAAGTTATTTTGTGCGTCCGTATAACAATTTCCCATTTTTTCCGTGTACAAAACCAAGGCAAATTCTAAGAAGTTGCCCAAAGTTTTTTAGTTGTAAATAAATTTTTACCCATAGCCATATGTATCTAGAATCTCCAATAACGTACAAATAAATCCGTGTTAACCCATCAATAATTTTTATGTGTGTGTGCGTATTAAAAAGCAAATCCTCAAAGAACCGCGCGAAAATATAGAAGTAATATAGCGGAGTCAAGCGCACAATAATAAATGCACAAAGTTTTGAGATTTTCGGGAAGTATTGACAGCTAATTAGCCAAATGTAAGGAACAATTCGATTGCCGCACACTGGGCAAGAACGATGTTGTTCAGTGTATTTCGCGACTTGTATTTCCAAGTTTTGCATTTGTCTTTGATGCAATTGCTTAAAATATCCGGGCAGAAAGAAAGCATTTAACAAATTCGTGAAGAGACTCTGTTCTCTGTTATTTCCCCTTTGGTAAGGATATATCAATCATGTGAAAACCGATGAGTTTTATTAATTTAAACCACGTCGATAGTAGTTTGTCCAACTATTGCTATATATTATTTTTCTTACATGGACGAGTGAGATGTTTACATGTCGTTTAGAAGCAAGCATCTGAGATCCCAGATTCTAAAATAGTTTTTTTGTTATCAGCCAATCGGTGATATTTTTGAACCTAAACTTCTACATGACTCTATCAAATGTACGTATATTACAAGAACGCAGTTTAATGATGATAAGATCCGCGTTTAATTAACCAAGTTTCAACCATTTGCGATCTCAGACCACTATAACGTCATTTATATTCTTTTGTACATATATAAACACATAAGAAATCCCCATAGGACCGATTGTTATTGGATTAGGAATTAATTAAGAATACTTTTCTTTAATTATTATTTTCAATTTTTTTTTTTAAGATTTCGAAAGTTTCACATTAATTCACATAAAAAAGAAATTACGTTCGTTAAAGCCCCATATTTTTTTATATAAACACCTGCATACATTAAACTATGGTTCTTACTTGCTTCTCATTTTCTATATTTTATGCGGACGCAATGTATCCAGCCGCAAAACATATGATGCATGAGCAAAAAGGTAATGAGAGAATGAAACGTTGAATGAAATTGTGGGATGTTTAGCATAATTTGAACAGTTGTTGCCTAGAAGGGGAAACTCCACGACTAAATCAATTTTGGTACATTTGTACTGTGAAAGTGTTGGGTGAATTTATGTTATTTTATATATGTAGACGTTGCAAGACTTCTTTACATTGCATCTATATATATATGTATTGATGTAATTTGTATTGAACTTTTATAAAATAATATACATTAGGAAATACCGAACTACGGGCCAGAACTAAGGGCTGAATTTCGCTTCTATTTCGCGAACTTCGTGTGAACATTTGAAGATACAACGTGCATAATTTTCGCATTGTACACGCAAGTATTTTTTCTAGCCAAGTTGTAATTATGTAACGTTTTTTGAAAGCAGAAAACATTGAAGAATATAGGCTAAGCTAGTTTGTTCATCCGCTTGTAGCACAGAGACGACGTGTGGTACGTATACTTTAAAATAGTTATTTCTTTGATTAGAAAAAGTAAGCAGTGGGGTTAATGCCACTTACTCATTCGGCCAACCATGCTTCTGTCCCATTCGTCAATTAGCTCGCGCTTGCACAGAATGGAGATCTTAGTTATTAACCCTACATCAAATTTGGCTACGAATATGAACTGCCGCCAATGAAAAACATAATGTAAACGTACCTCATAACGAAATGAAAAGTCAAGTGAATAGTCAAATAACATGAAGATGATTCGCTCGTAGTTGGAAAAATATTTAAGAAATTTAATTTGTTGCTCTGGAATGGTAGGTGCGAAATACGCGCAAGATGCGTAGAGTCTCCGTACTTTTCACCTTAAGACGATGGCACACCATCGCAAAAACGGAAATGCTATATTTCTTATACGAAAATCCAGGAGTTTAACTCAAACAATGTCAGATCATACGTAAACAACACTACTCTTTTAACCCTCAAAAGAAAAATATAAAAATTGGCTTATGTTCATATGCAACTTCTTTTTCTGTAACGCAGATATATCGATTTCTTGTGTCGCATTTTGTCGACGGGTGAAATTGGCCTCTTAAAGGCCGTTGACGCCAATATCGGTCAAGGAGAAAATTTTGCGATAGGATCTGCGTCAATTCTCCAAGGCGACGAAACGGAACTAAGGAGTTTGCGGCGAACAGCGTGTGCACCCATTATTCTGCCCGAGAAGCTCAGCTATTTGTTTGGTGTTTGGAGAGTAGAAGACGACACTCAACCCAATCAATGTGAAAAGTGAGCAGCTAACAAATTTGCCTTAGTTTCCAGCTTCAATGTATCATTGCGTACGCGTAAAACTTTCCAATTAGTATTAAGAAGAACGATTCGATTATATATGACGCATATGCGTATTCAATACATTTTTTAATGTGAACTGAATATTGTCTAAACTAAAGTTTTTATGCATATGTGTGTGTGTGTGCCTGTGTGCATATATATGTATACATAATAATGTAGTGAAATTCATTTTCGCTTTAGTAAATAATAACATAATATCCAACAAAATCCACAACGATAATAAAAGAAATAAATCTTCAAATACGACAGTAGATGATAAAGGAAAAATGTACTTTATTTAAATTTTTGTTTGGACAAGTCGCCATTTTAAATTCAATTAGTTCAAGCAGACAACAAAGTACAATTTACGAACACATCCCAACATCAAAGATTCCAAGCAAGGAGTTTTGGGATACGCCTGTAATAGAAGTTCACATGAAAATGCACATGTTCAGCGACCAGCCAACAGATTTATTAACCGTAAGCAAGAAAAGCGAAAGGCAGCAAAATTGTTTCTTATTACATTAGCTACAAAAAAGATATTACATATCGGAATGTATAGATATATATATACATATATATATGATCGACAGTGACGTGAAAAAGTTTTTTTCTTACGAGATGAGATGCTGTGTTATTGAGGGAATAAACTGCCAAAAGAGGTTAATTTTCCAATATCTACGATGGCATACCAATAAATAAAAATAATAATGGAGACTATCTTCTTGTATCAAATTTTTGATCGCTTCGTATACATACTATATCTCATATAGTAAAATACGTAATATATCGGGGTTACGATACAAATGCTTCCTTAACGGCTTTTAATAGAGTGGTTTTTGAAGGCTCTCAAAAGAAGATACAGGGACCTCATCATTTGGTTAAAATCTTTTTCCTCTCCTTTTCTTTTTTAAGATTTGCAAACAGATAATAGTCGCCGAGCCCCAGATGTTGGAAATATTGTGGGAGTGACCGCAGTTCACAATTCATTTCGATGTAGTCCACTAGCTGTTTCTTTCAGGGAGTAAACGTGGTACTCATTTTGAAAACAGACCTCTCAGAACCAAGTTTCTTGCAAAATAGTGACTACATTCCCTTTTTGAAATTTTTAGAAAGTCATTTAGTTCTTGTAATTTTTTGAATATTTTTTAACGTAACTATCGCTTTTGAGTGTCTAGTATATTCGCTACATCCGGTAGCCCGCTTTTAAAATCAGGAAACTGCGGAAAAAGTTTGTGCTCAAGGGAGAAAAGTAAGAATAACGTTTTAACTTTTCAAGTGAGAGAGTTTGAATAGTGCTTTTCAGGTTCCATCGTGTTGAATATAGGCCATTTAGTACTTCTTACACGTAACGTGAGTCTTTTTTGTTATTGACGATGTATAACGCGGAATTGTTTATTGACAGATATGTCAGTGGAACGAATATGGTGTGAGCAATAAGACGTCGCTGCTATACAATTTTATGTACATATGTGAACTTATGTAGCAAATATAACGCAAAATTTAAAAAGAAAGATTACAGAGAGGATCTAACATATTCAAAAGCTTTACTGTTCAGTGCGTTTGCCTGTGTGTGCATATATCGTGAATATGGTGAACATGGGTGCATTTTCTTTGCGACACTACCATAGCGTAACGTCATTTATTGAAAAATAGATATGTAGCCTGTACTCCGTGTGCGGATGTATGTGCATATAAAACGCACATGTGTGCGAATGAAAATATTCTTGAGTTTCACAATAGCAATCGTGGTCGTTAAAATTGCCGCAAAAACTCATTTGTTTTAGTTCCAGTTTTTTGAAGACCCAGTTTATTATTTCTCGCAGATAGCGATTGCCTTGTGAAACATTACATCCGGTGATTTATGATGATGTGCTTAAAAATGAATGTATATGCACGTATACATAAACACATACGGATGCATACATACTTGAGAATTTATTCTTTCATTCATTCATATAAGAAAAACGTTGCAGCGAAATTATTGAACCTGGTAATTATTATTTATGTTAACTATTTCAACACTGCATGGTGAAGTTAAAATGAAATAATTTCAGTACAATATAATAAATAAAAAAGTCTAGTAACAGTACACTTCTCGGTACATCCGACAACTTTCAATGAGATGGTTAATGATTTAATATATTTAAGTTGAACTATTTTTTGCGGATGTCATTTTCATTTGAAATTTTGCTCTTTTTTCAGAGCACATGTGTCAAGATGTAGCATGACGCATCTCTAATCTGGGAATATCTCTTAACTTAAGAAATACTTTCAATTATTAGACAGCAGATGAAAAAGACAAAAACACGCGATCGCCCCTGTGCGTTCAATTATATCGCCCCTGTGCGTTCAATTATATCAATTTTACCCTTTCATAGACCACAGATGAAAATAATCAAGAGACCAATCGAAAAATGTGAAGAACTAAACTGAAAATATTAAAAACAAGGATAATTTATATTTATATTTTGCCTAATTTTTTTGTACATATATGTATTTATGTACTTCTGGAATGTTGATGGAGTCTTAGAGCTGCACCAGAATGAATCGATATTTTAAATTTCAGCTTGATATCACGAGCTTAAATCAAATTTATTATACTCTAACGTTAATGATATAAATATAGAAGTCATATTGCGCCGAAGTAATGATGAATCCGCTGAACTGTCAACATTTTATTATTGAAAATAATTTGTTAGTCGAGCAATGTAACAGGAAGCTCTAAGCGCTAAATATTCTTGTGAGTGTAGACTAACAAGATTTAATTAATTCAAAGAAAAAATTCGACACATTTCCCTGTAATGGTACCATCAAATTTTGAACGTAGTGAGTTATATACCCAGGACAGGTCTCTTTTATAATTGTATATAAGGTACAATACAATATCTACCCTTCATTACTTTCTGAACAACAAATATGTTATTATAAATAAAATAAAATCGTTTGGTATCTTAAAACAACTTTAAATACCAATTAATCTTACGGAACGGGTGGCTTTCCTTATTTAATTTTTGAATCGTAGGTAAAACAGGTAAAACAAGAATTATATTCGGTTGCGACCCATTCTCTTACACCAATCGCAGTTGTTCTCGTTTTGTAGAATAATTTTGCGGAAACTGATATCGTGCATGTGTTGTAGTTTATACGCAAAGAGCAAAAGGCAGGGAATGACAAGGTGTTCCAAATTTTGATTGTACGGGCGAGTAGGTCTGGTGTAGTTTCACTGTAGTTTCATCCCGAATTTCAATCTGGCTAAGAATTTATTCATTTCATGGGATTTTTGACGCTTGCTTCCAAGTGCCATATAACGGATTCAGAAAAAAATAAAATTATGACACATTATTTTAACATTTTTATGCAGGTACTACAGGATCATCCATAGAATATATATTCAAAATTTTGTAGATGTGTCTGTTGTAGTTTAAGAGTCATGAGCAAAAACCAGTTTTTTACTCTATATAAAAAAACAAAGGAGTTCTTAGTTTACCTAGTACTGTGGCCACGTTCTGCGACTGAGTTAGCAAATTTCCATTACTAACCTGCGTGCAACAACTTCAAGTGTGTCTGCCAAGATTGAAGTTAGTAGTGTCATTCTTTCATCAGCAGAATGTTTAAAACAGTCATTGCAAAAACGGACAGGCTGCCAAACAGACGGATTTGCTTAAGTCAATTTAGAAGGGGCCTCTGAAGCTTTTTTCCTTCTTTCTGAAGCTTTCCTTTCACCACTCGGTGGCGGTTACAAAAGTCTAAAATATAAAATTTTAATTATGCATAAAAACGTTTAAAATTGTGTGCCGAATTCAGCTTTCTTTCTCTCTTACTTAGGAAGCACAAGGACAACTTTTATTGTTGTATCTGGCTTGGACGGTACGCTTTTCAAAGACGAATACGCAAATTGCTCAAAGAGCGTACAAAAATCTGTGAAAATTGATGCCCATCTAAAATATATGTGTTTCACACGTTTTCCGCAGATTCCAGTTAAGTTCACAAAAAATCAAGGCAAAAGCAAAGCGTTTCTTCAAGCTCATGCTAAGCGAAAACTAAAGTCTTCTTTGCACGATATTTCTTTAGACTTTCATTAAAAATATATATTTATCAAGAGCAATTTGAGGTTTAGAAATATCTTCCGTCGTGTCACGGTTTCGGAACTTTTCTGTGGCAAAAATCTACATGAGAAGAAGAAATATCAAAGGAGTATTGGCAAATATGTTCTTACCTCAAAGTAACAGTGCAAATGGAAATGACTACTTCGGTAATAGGTATAAACATAACAAAAAAATAAATTAATAAAAATAAATAAAAAACCAATCATAAAAATTTGACTTCTTTGTGAATTATTAACGTCCTCGAAAAACGATTGCACAAATCGCGTAACATGAAATGCAGCGATATGAGAAACTCTTCATTCTGCTTACATATTATGTAGTATTTAAATATTGGTTTAAGTCGAATATTTTTCATCACCATCTTACACATTGCTGGTATTGTTCTACAATTATAGTGCGAATCTTCAAGTGCAATTTCGTTACAAACTTGCGAAGGAAGTGAAAGCTGCCAGTAAGAATGTTTGGCTGAACGATAGATAGATGTGTGGACATGCACTGACTCAGGATTTTGCATTGATTAATTTCGATTTCCTTTGGTATATGTATATACTATTGTAAATAAACTTCTTCAACAGTTTCCGTTTAGTAATTATTGTCCTTTGTATTTCTATACTTTTTCTCGAGCTTCGTTATCTATGTTATATTTGTATTTCTGATATTATCCAACATTTGTGAAGAGTATATATTGAAATTTCGGGACTTAAGTGTGTAACTGAAAACACCATGATTGAAAAAATTGCAACAGAAAACAGATACTCCATAAATTATATCTTAGTACATAGTTACGGATCAATTGTACGCCATAGGAATTTACATACACAGTTCCCAAAGCATTGAAAAGACAAGAAAAAAAATCGTAATTATTATTGTAATCTACTACTTTAGAGTAGTAGTTGTCAGGTCCATGTGACCTTGATAGGAAAATAGTTCCGACTGGACATCTATTGCTGATAAGGTACGTTTACTTTTAACTTAATAAAGCATTTC